AGAGCCGGCCAGTTCGGGTGGGTGGAATCCAAGCAGTGGTGCTTCCGGGACAAGAGACTGTGGCCGCGGGAAGCAGAGGAGGCCGAGTGGGGGTGGAGAACGGTGGGGGGTGGGAAAGCATATATCCCAAATTACCGGTTGTTTTGTCTTCTGCTGGAAGCTCTGTGAAGTTGCTTTCTCGTACCCCCTGTTTGCTGGTCTCCAATAGGAGTCCAAGATGGCGGATCCACGCTGCATTAGCTGATAGGGGACCTCTGCATGAATCTCTTCTCACTCTCCGTTCTCTGTCCGTTTTCTCACTCCATTTGGTGCTTGGCTGAGTTCTTTATCTCTTCATTTGATGTTTTAGGGTTTCAGGATTGCTGTTTTCTCTGTTTGGCTTAGTTTTTCGGATCTTTGCTGTGGAGGGATGGCGTGGTGCTTCTGCCTAGAGAGCCATTTTGCCAGAACTCCCCTTTCATCTTTTACAGATAAGGAAACAGAAGCTCATAGAAGTTAAGAGAAGGCCCAGGGTCACACAGGTCTCTTGCCTCCCAGTTCAGCATGCTCTGTGGTATCTTATGCTACATGTTACTTCTTTTTGTCATATTTGTAAGTAGAGGCATAGTTTGGGCCTGACATTTCATAAACCAGATTTTGATAATCCTGCTCGTATGCTATGTAAAAGGTACTACATATTAATAATTATAGGAAAAATTGTTCAGACTTACTAAATGCATATGTTGTTTGCACATTGATTTTAGGAGTAGTTTCATTCTATAGGAAACTCGTATTCAGTAATTGATAGATGTGTTGTAGAAGAATTACTGAACTGGGAGTCATCAGATCTTAGTTTGAGTCTAGCCTCTAGTTGTGTAGCCTTGAGCAAGTTGCTTAACCTTTCAGGGGTTGTTTATTCATTTATAAAAAGATGTTGAACTAAAAGATTATTAAAATCCAATTTAGCCCTACCATTCTGGATTTTTATGAGTCTGATAATCTTTTCCATTGGGAAAAGTAGTAATGAAAGGCATTTCAGAATATATAGTTGTCTTAGTCATCTAGTGCTGCTATAACAGAAACACCACAAGTGGATGGTTTTAACGAAGAGAAGTTTATTTCCTCACAGTCAAAGTAGGCTAAAAGTCCAAACTGAGGGCATCACCTCCAGGGGAAGTCTTTTTCTGTCTGTCGGCCTTCTTCTCTTCGGTGTTCCCCCGGACTAGGAGCTTCTCTGCGCAGGGACCCCAGTCCAAAGGACGCGCTGTGCTCCTGGCACTGCTTTCTTGATGGTATGAGGTCCCCCTGTCTCTCTGCTCACTTCTGTCTTTTATATCTCAAGAGATTGCCTCAGGACACAATCCAGTCTTGTAGATCCAGTCTTGCCTTACTAACACAACTGCCACCCATCCTCCCTCATTAACATCATAGATGCAGGATTTACAACATACAGGAAAATCACACAGTACCAGGAATCATGGCCCAGCCAAACTGATATACACATTTTTTGTGGGGGACATAATTCAAACCATGACATAGTTAAATGAAAAAAAAGTTCTTCTGAATTTACAAAATGCTTTATAATTATAAATAATGTTTTAAAGTTTATAGTATAGGCAGCGGTGCTTAGTAGCCTTCTGGTCCCTGAACAGTAGTAGCAGGTTGAGCTATCCTAAAAAAGATGTTCTTTAATTTTGGCATTTGGGGTTTTCTCCCAAACTCAGAGATTATGCCATCCAGTTCCCTTATGCACATGATTAAACCACCCTTTGCTCATTACTGAAAATCTCTTCCTTTTATGTCTTACCGTAATGATTAGAAGAGTTTTGAAAAGAGACAATTTCTTTTCTATAATCATTGGCTGATTCTGTGTCTAATCATGCATTCATAGAATTATTATTTTTTCCATGTTATAAATCAGCTGATTATTTCCTCCTAACACCTCTGATTGGATTGGATTATTATCAGTCACCAGAGAGGAATCAGCATCAGTGGCAGTCATTAAGTGGTCATAAATACTAGTTTGGGTACTATGGAAATATTTAGGATAAGCCAGTGTGGTGTCATAAACCATACTGCAATGTATGCCCTTTAACAATAATGGCTGACATTTATTAACTGCTTCCTTTGTGCCAGGCACAATGCTATCCTCTTTGTATTTATTATTTCATTTTCTTCTCATGCCAAGTCTGTGAAGGATTATCTTGTTTTACAGATGAGAAAAGCTGATGCTTAGAAACATTAAGTAAGTTTTTTAAAAAGTGACAGTCATCATTACTATTTCTGGATGATAGAATTTAAGGGTTTTTCTTTTTTAACTTCAATTTTTGTACTTTTATGCATTCTTTAAATTCTTAAAATATGTATCATTTTTACAAAATAATCATTTTTCTTTAAAAATTGAAAGCATATCCGCCATGATATTAACAGTGGTTGATTCTGAGAGTGGAAATGTAGGTGATTGTTATTTTCTTCCATGTGTTTATCTGATTTATTTTTAAAAGGTATTTCACCTAGAAAATTGTTCATCTAGAAAGTAACCAAGTTGTGATTCAAATACAGAACCATATGACAACAAAGCCCATCCTCTCCAAATAATATGTTATCAAAAAGGTGCCTTATGCACATTGTACAGAATCCAAAAGGCATAAAAGAACATTCAGTGAAACTAAATGTCTCTCCTACCTCTACCTCTGAGACAACTAGTTTTCTCCCAAGAGGCATCACTATTACCAGTTTCTTGGGAAACGTCTGGAGATACATTTTACATAGATAAGCAAGTTATTGTTTTTGTTAGCTGTTGTGGAGTTGGCCCCAACTCATGGTGATCCGTGCACAGTGAAACTAAATGCTGTCCAGTACTGTGCCATCCCATGATAGGTTGTGAATTGGACCACATTGTGATCCACAGGGTTTTCATTGGTTGATTTTTGGAAGTAGATGGACATGACTTGCGTCCTAGTCCGTTTTAGTCTGGAAGCTCTGCTGAAACCTGTCCAGCAACATAGCAACATGCAAGCAACTGACAGATGGGTTCATTGGCCAGAAATGGAACCCTGTCTCCACCATGGAAGGCGAGAATTCTACCACTGAACCACCACTGCCCTATAGATAAGCTTGTACAGGTATCCCCTGCTTTTTGAAAGTTCACTTTACCCCACTTCACTTTTACAAAAGACCTACATTAGTACCTGTTTTCACTGACCAAAAGAAATCTGAAGAGGATTTTTTTACTTTTATGAAAAAAGGCAAAAATCGGAAATGGCGTTCAGTGTTTGTTTTGCAGCAAGCCATTAAAGAGGCAGTGCACACCCTGAGCAGCTAGATTGGCCTAACCAAGCTCCTTCTGCGGGAACTACACTCAGCATCTCAGCGTCAAGCCACTGTGTCTGTGAAGCATCTGTGCTTTATCTCGATTTATTTTGTGCATCTGTTAGCAAGATGTGTTCTAAGATTTCAGAAAAGCCTAAGAGAGCTTGTAAGGGTTTTATGTATTATTTGGTATGATTTGATGGGTTATTTTTTGGGTCTGGGAATGCTCAAAAATGTTTCCCATATAAATTAACGGTAATTGCTTCTTCATTTTACACCATTTTGACTTACAAAAGGTTTCATAGGAACGCTCTACTTTCAGAGAGAGCGGGGGAAACCTGTATGTGTATAGTGTTTAATACAAATGGAGCATGCCTTAATACTGCTTGGTTTCTTGATTTTTTTTTTCCCCCTGCATTTAACGATACATTCTGAGATTGTTCCTTATTTGTTTATATACAATGGTAATGGCTACATCGTGCAGATGACTTGGTTATATGGGTGGCCTTTGCTTTATTTAACCAGTCCTCTGTTGATGACAGTGAGGTTGTTTCCATCCGTTTGCTATGACAGATTGTGGTTCTATGTATATCTTTGTATCTAAAGCATTTCACATACGAGACCATATCTGTAGGATAAATACTTATAAGTGAAATGGTTACGTTAAAGGGCATATGCATGAATAATTTTGATAGATATTGCCAAGTTATTCTCGCTGAAGGTTAAAGGAGCATATGAGAGAGCTTGTCTCCCCCAGCCCTTCCCAGCACAGCATGTTATTAAACTTTATGATCTTTACTAATCTGAACATCAGTGAAAAGTACTCTCTCATGTTAGTCTTAATCTGCATTTCTCTTATTATGAGTGAGATTGAGAATATTTTTATATGTTTAGGAGTTGCTAGTATTTTATTTTTGGGGGGGAACTATCTTTTAACTTTATTTTTGGTGGGTTTTGCCCTGCAAAATTGTGTTATTTTTGTATAGTTGTATATATCAATCTTCTTTTCTGATTTCTGAGTTTTGTGTCATTTTGTTAGAGAGGACTTCCCACTCCAATCTTTTTGTAATCCTCTATGGTTTCTTCTAGTACTTTCATGGTTTCTTTTTTTTATTTAGATCTTTGCTCTATGTAGAATTTATTTTGGTGTAAGATGTGATATAAGACTCTTTTTTTCCCCGCATATCGCTACCCAGTTGTCTTTAACACTATTTAATTAATTATCTATCTTTTCTGTAGTGAATTAAAAATGCCATCCTTAAGTAAGTTTCTCCATTTGGAGGTATATTTTCTATTTCACAAGCGTTTATTTTCAGTAATCACGGGCTCAAACTTACGAATCTTACAGAATATTATTTGCAGTACTTTTTCAGATAGAATCTGGGAATTATTTGGCAGATGAGGAAGAAGGAAAGTGGATCATGTTCCCACAGCCCTCAGCTAGTGAGCCAGCGAGCAAAACTCAGCAGTTTACATGGTTAGCAGCACAAAGCACTGGCCCCCAGCCACATTCACCCTTGTTTTGTACCCCTCAGGGTTTCTATAGAACAAAGGAACAACCCTGGAGTAGAGAAGGTAGTTTTGCCTAGGGAATATTTCACATCTTAGAATAATGTGTCCTTTTGTTGCATAATATTTCCAGTTTAGCTGTGCCTTGAGCTGCATTCAATACTAAAACATAGATATATATATATATCTTCCTGCTTCAGATACACACCCCTTGACTATGCTTTGCTTGGTGAGCGCCATGAAGTGATCCAGTTCATGTTGGAGCACGGTGCCCTGTCCATTGCAGCTATCCAAGACATTGCTGCCTTCAAAATCCAGGCTGTCTACAAAGGGTACAAGGTCAGGAAAGCTTTCCGAGACCGGAAAAATCTCCTCATGAAGCATGAACAGTTGAGAAAAGATGCTGCTGCCAAGTAAGTTTGTGCTACAGAGATTGTGTTCTCACAATTCATAATCAGGGTGGAAAGGGGAGGGGCGGCAGGGGTGGCCAGGAGAGAATCTGAATTCCTTTTGACCCTTGTACCCATGTCACTTTCCTCCTTCTGCTCTTTACTTCTTCTTCAGAGGACTGAAGCTGCAGTGAAGGAGGAAACTAACCTCTACTTGGTGGCTGTTCCTCTGGGTTAGTCCTTGACGTTCAAGTGCAGGGTACACCACTCACCCCCAGCTATGGCAGGGAGTTGGGGTTGGGACTGCTACCCAGAGTAAGTTATGAAGAGATAACTGCCTTTCCAGAATAAACTTACACCAATATCTGCCTACTTTCACTATGCTAATCTAGGTCTAGTTTTGATTTGGTTAAAGCAGCCAACTTATATAACTGACATCCTCTCCCCTACCCATTACTTAATAAATCGGTACTAAGTAATTTATTCAAGAAATATTGATTAAATGTTCATTGTCCGTACAAGACCCTTGACTAGAGCCTAGGGGGAAAATGGTGACTAAAAGCAAAGGCAGGGACTTTGTACTTATTACACTTTGTGATTATTTTACCATAAATGATTGATTTTAATTATGCTTTGGTTTGCCTTTTCTTTGATACCTGTATTGGGTAGAAGTAATTTAAATAGCAGTAGAGTATTGCATTAATAAGTACAGATGCCAAAACTGCTGATGATAAAGATGTGGATGACAGATTCTTGAAGAATCACTTCCTGGCTATATCTTGAAAGCTTCCAGATCTTGAGTCTTTCCCACTCTTGAATCCTTACATTTCTTGCCTTCAGGGGGGAAGCAGTAAGTATATTAAATCTCAACAACAACTACCAATAACCAACAAAAATAAGAATAAAAGAGAGGATAAGCCATTTTAGTGAGAAGTTAAATACTGTCACGTGTCACTGAACATCCACGATACATTCTGTGAAATAGGATGTTAGGTGATTTTGACTTTGTGCAAACACCATATTATGAATGAAGTTCCTTTCAGGCATTTGCTTCCAGAATAAGGAGGTTTCATCCATATTAAAAGTTTGCTAGGGTAAATAACCCCCTCTACAATTAGTTTATCTGAGGTTTCAACAAATTCTCCTGTTGACTTTGCGTCAGCACTCGCGAACTCACCGCTCACTTTCACGTTTTGCAGCCAAAAACATTTGAAGTGCTTGAACCACCCAGAGCCAGCACTAAACTCTGGTCCTGCTTTTTCTTTAAGCATCTCAAATAAGCTTTGTACCTTAGCAGCGATCATCAACGTGCTGAGAGGGATTCCCTTTTGTGGTTGGTCCTCAATCCACGTCATGAGCAATTTCTCCATATCTGATATAGGTCCCTCTTGCATTTTCATTACCCTTTTAGCTTTCAGTGGAGCCGATCCTTTAACAGCTTGGATAATTTTTTCTTTGTTTTTGAGGATCATCATGATTGTCAAGTGTGACATGCCTACATCCTCTATGTCCCATTCTCTGATCAGAATTTTTGAACTCTATTATAACCTTATGGGACCACGGATGTATATGCAGTCGGATGTTGCCCAAACGGACGTTATGCTGAGCATGAGTGTAATACTGTGAACCGGAATGCTAACCATAATGCCAACCTTCAATAGACAAGATTGACAGAAACGTAATTTTCTGTGACTCTGAAGCTACCAAAGTAGGTGGCATCCAAGGAAATACTGATACTCTTCTCTTAATGATACACTTTTCTCTTCACTTTTGTCAAAGAATCCAGTATTAAAGTCACTACATGCCTCTTTTACCAGCCTACTTACCTGAGATCTTTGCATGTGAGTGATGACTATAAGTAGGTAGTACACATGATAGATTACTTTGAGTTGTAAGTAGATGTTCTCTTCAAGGAATGGAACATTGTATTTCCTTCACTGATGTTTTCATAAACTCCAATTTTATGTATGAGAATCTATTTTCAGAATTTTAAGTCATATCTACCTGAATATGAGGTGAGACTACAAAAACAACATGACTTTTGTATGTCCCCAAAAAAGTGTATTAATCCAAACACATTCCACTTGGTTGTTGGAAAGAACGGGGCCCTGGAGTCTCCTTTCCCCCAAACTCTTTTTCCAGTGGAATAGGAAAGTTGTAGTAGAGTAGGAGGACCTAGGTTCAAATCCAGCCTCTGATACTTACTTGTGATGACTTAAACATAGCACTTCCCTCTCTGGGCCTCAGTTTCTTTATCTGTGAAACATGACAAATTGGACCAATTGATTTCTAGGTAGCACCACTCTCCAGTTCTGTGCAAACCCTGCCAGTCTTCATTTGTTAGTAATCTGTAGCCTCTTCTTCTTCTGCTTTGCCTGTGGCACTGTCCAGAGGCCTTATACTTGGGGCTAAGAGTTTGGATTGGCATACTATTGAGTATTTAGAGCTAGGAACTAAGAATATATTTGTGAGACGATCTCCTATACAGAGGAGGGTTTAAAATATTGACATGCTTAAGTAGCATAGTGGATTACAATATTTTTCCCCCTAATAACAGTTTTTCTCACTCCCAGTCCAGAGGGTTTGAGATGACAAGGGGACTTAGGGGATATCCAGTCCAACCTTCTTTTCATTGTTATACTAATTAGTTTCGCTATTGCAAAAGATAAGTCCTCTCTGCTCTGATGTTAATTTTTTTTTTATTGTTGTGCTATATGTGAAAGTTTACAATTCAAGTTAGTCTCTCATACAAAAATTTATATATACATTGTTATGTGACCCTAGTTGCTCTCCCTATACTATGACAGCACACTCCTCCTTTCTGCCCTGGATTTCCTGTGTCCATTCAACCAGCTCCTGACCCTCTCTTGTCTTCTTATCTCGCCTGTGGACAGGAGCTGCCCATTTAGTCTCATGTATCTACTTGAGCTAAGAAGCACACTCTTCACAAGTATCATTTTATGTCCCATAGTCCAGTCTAATCTTTGAAGAGTTGGCCTCGAGAATGGTTTTAGTTTTGGGCTAACAGAGAGTCCGGGAGCCATCCAATCTCAATCAAACCATTAAGTCTGGTCTTTTTACTAGAATTTGAGTTCTGCACCCCACTTTTCTCCTGCTCCGTCAGGGACTCTCTGTTGTGTTCCTCTGATGTTAATTTTTAAAAATCTTTTTAAATTGGAGTTGTGCTTACTTGTGATAGTATTTGAAATTTCCAAAACTGAAAATTTGTGATGTGCTTTACTTCTTCTTCTCAGTTGTTTTCTTTATTTTATTGAGTACCATTATTAGATGTAAATAAGTTAGCTGTTTCTTACAGTTTAACCATCACCTCCTACAGTCATTGTAGTGTAGATCCCCAAGAGAAATATTTAAATGGAGGAGAAACTGATTTATTTCTCAAAAATTATTTCTTAAAATATAAGTCACTCTTTTATTTTTTACTTGTTTATATATATAAATGTAAATATATACATATATATATGTTTTTTGGTTTTTGCTTTAAGGAACAGAATTCAAAATGTTAAACTCTGCCCTTGATGCTGCTGCATCATTGACTAAGGTGGCCCAGGCACATCAGGTTTATCATGTTAGGATGATGGGAATCATCTTCCTTAAAGTGATGTTTTGAAAGGAACTTATTAAACTTATAGACAGAGAAATAGGGTGAGAGAAGTTTTAGTCATATTTTCTAAGGTGTGCATGTAGAAAATATTATTTAAGAAATATCTATAATCTATTTAAAAGCACTTTATAACTCACACTGTACTACCTATGTTGTTGCCAAAATGAACATTATTATAATTTACCTGCCACAGCACACAGTTGAATGCATGCTTTAGTAAGACCATGTTTATGTTGATCACTCTTCCTCTTGAAGCTTCGTTTTTGCCAGCTTTTTATTTCACTAATTCCAGATCTCCTCCTAATTCTCTGACTTTCTCACATCTTTTTAACTATTCCGTCTCCACACTGAGGTCACCCTTGAGGGTGCTTGTACTTGAACTTATGCTATACTTATTTCCAGTGAAAATGTATCCATTCTTAAATTATATCATCTCTGTAGTTCACCCCTTAAGCTCTCTCCTATCCAGACCTGGAACTCTAATCCCATATCTCCATTTGCCTAGTGGACACTTTGCTGACCATTTGTCACTTGCCATCACTTTAGACCACTGGACATTTCCACTTGCACGTCCCATTTTCACCATTTCTTCAGACTCTTCGTGTAAAACCTACAGTTTGTCACCACGATCTGTCTCTCTTTCTGGCCTCCTTATTTCCCTGCTAGTGCTGCCATCATTGATTCTGTTAATTTTTATTTGAAATGTCCTTTTATGTCCATTTGCTTTCATTCTTCTGTATCACTACTCTATCCAGGCCATCATTCTTGAATACCAGCCATGATTCTACATAAGACTCTTTAACCTTATACCCCTGCTTATATCTCCAAGTCTCATTTCTCCCCACTGCCACCACCCTCCCACATGCTCACACTCAGTGCCTCAGCCATCCAGAACTTTCTTCACTTCCTCACCACATTCTCTGGGAGAGAATGAGCTTCTTTCTGGCTAGTGTATGAGATTGAGTACATCTCTTAGAGTTACACAACCAAGTCTAGTTTTGGTCATGCTGTTCAAACTCTTGTGATGCATGAGTCCCTTCTATAGGAGGTTATTCTGTGTCCTCAACAAGGCAGCACATTCTGTTAGTGGACAGTTCTGTCTGACAGAGCTCTTTTCTCCTTTTTGTTCTTGCAACTGCCCCTTGAAGCCAAACAGAAAAGTTAAAATCCTTTTCATAAACAGACTTTCTAATATTTGAAGAACGTGCTCATGACACTCCCACTCCCACCCCAGGTCCTTTTCACTTTATAATTGATCCTATCACATCCTGCTCCCCTGAACATCTCCAGTTTGCCAACACCTTTACTCAGGGTTGATCCAAGTATCTGATTCTTCTGCTCACACTGTGGTATGACGCTTGGGTAATTGCTTCCATGGCTCTACTTCATGCCACTCTACTTC